ATCACAACGCTTTCAAAAAGTCCACATTTTATATGAATCGAGAGGAATACAAAAAGATTTTGACAGTACCTCTTCTCCAGTGTGCCCATGAAACCGGTCATTACTCATCGCTTTGCCAGCTGTTGTTTATTTTTATCGCTCTGTGTTCTGAATTCATATTTACTCCTGTGCTGCTGTAAATCTCCAGGCAGATAGAACACATTCTGTGACCACAGACAGCTTTCCTCTTACATCACATGCGCTGGAGAATAGCATGGCACAGCCCAATGGAATTACACAATACTCCCATAGGTCATATTGTAACCTTGACCTTTCTGGCAGGCATCACCAGGAAAAAAAAAATACTTGCCTTTGACCTTTTTCATGTGGCACTTCTTTGAAAAATTTCAACTTGAAATGTTACTTCCTCCGGTGTCCCTGTAGAAGAAACAAATGTCAGGATCATTAGTGCAAAGGAAGGTTAGGTACAGGATATCTTCTCAGTAGGGCATTTGGCAGTGTCAGAAAAGCTGTGCAGATTTTCCATTCACGACTAAAGTCTGGCACATGAATAAATGATAAATATCATGAGCAACATACTGTTTGACACAGCTGGGTTATGGATGGAACATAACAGGAAAGGACACAAACAAAAGGTAATGCTACTTACTGTGAAATAAATACTACTTACTTATATAAGAATGTGGCTTGCTTGTAAGACAATAAAATGCCGATAACTTTGTGTGCCCTGCTTTGGCAGGGTTGAGTTGATTCTTTTACAGATCCAAACTAATCGTCTAGAAGGGTGCATGACAGGGCTTAGTGGAGAAGATCATCCAGCTTGGATTTTCTCACCAGGGTCTTTAAAGAGAAACATGAAGACCATGTGCCAGCGCCCCAAAAAAAAACACCTGTCAGCCTCGGCTGAGGACATGGTGACACACTTTCCTTCCAGGTGCATTCTGGGCCCTCATTCCAGATGATCATCACCGACATACCCAAGAGCAAGATACTGTCACCCTACTGAACCTTTGCACTGTTGAGACAACTGGCCACAAAATAAATAGTGGTTGAGTTGGAAAAAAGCACCAACAGTCACAAAATATGAATGTCTCGGAAACTAGAACACCCACTTGAATGCACAGCATCGAAGTCCTAACGGCAAGGGATCAACAAAACTGGGCCAAGTCATTAAAGCACTTTCAATCACAACAGTACTGACAAATTCAATTTATGTGGATATAAGTGCACCATAGTATATGTAGAATTACATAGCCACATATTTAATACAGGTTATGGGATTACTGGAATAATATTTAATTGTACTTTTGGTGTGGTGGCTAATTCCACTGGGATTAAATAAACACTGTTGTCCACTGCAGTCAACGAGGTGATACTAGAGTTATCAGATGACACAGTTTGATCGTGTTTCAATGATTAGCCATTGATGCGACTTTACTTGACCCCTATTTGTCAAGACCGTGAGTGCAAAACTGGTGTCCAGCAAGCTACCTACAAGATTTAGCATCACCAAATAGAGTTGAAAAATCTTTCCAGAACACTCCCCACGTCTGCCATTGGTGGAATATTCACAAATTACCTGCAAAATAGAATTAAAGAATGACAATTAAGAAGGAACAACTACTGTCAAAGATCAGATGGTCTGAATTCAGGCTCCACACAGTAGCACCCAGATCACAGCCAAACGTTTTCTAATCTTTCTAATACTACAGCTTGAGAAGCTTATTCCCTATCTCTCTTTCCCTCACACACAAACACAGAGTATTGACAGCTTCCTAATTTGTTTGCTATCTGGGTGAGAGTAGAGGATGTCAACAAAACAAGACTGGGCTGAATAGATGGCAGGAGGCGCAAGTCTTCAGATCAACTGGCAGAGCAGGTCAAATGCCAATAGCTTTCGAGGCATGAGTTAACATGCCAGCAGAAAACACTTTCCAAATGAACTGCAGGAAAATAAAAAGGTATAGGAAAGAAACAGCAAATTAGTGGCATTTTTCAAGAAAATTTAAATTATCTCTGCTAGGAACAGATCAATTATGAGTAATATTTGCAAAACATTGTGAAACCTGTGACAAACTTGTTTAAAGCTGATACAGAAACATGCCATACCAGAAGCATATTAATTCATCGGTCTAACAAAGTTAAGAAAAACTACAAAAAAATTGTAAAAAATCATGGAAAGCATAAAATCCAACATTCAGAAATGATACGTTTCTGAAGAAAAAAATACTAAGAACATTTACAATTAAAAAAAAAAAAACTTTTTCACATTTTGTGATTTCTCCAGTATGTCTGCTGCTAGATATGCCTCCAAAAACTCACTTTTCATAAGCATGTCAACAGACCTAGATCTCATTTTGCAGCCTACAACTCCCCCTGGTGGTCTGGAGCAATACAACATCCACAACACAAACACAAAATAATCATTTAGACTTTAGAACCAAAAACAAAACACTTATCACATGATCCCCGACACTGACCCTTGCTCCATATTTTATTGAAGAAAAACATAACGGGCCACAAATGTTCTTTCATAGAAAATAAACCAATAGCAATACTACAAATTATTCAACTGTAACATCATTCACAGGGTTACAGTAAATGTACATTTATATAAAATCCAGAGCCTCCTGCTTCACTCACAGTGGTCAAGGTGGACAGTACAGTGCGAGTTATTACCAATGAAAGTGTGTGCATACTATTGTATGCGTGTACATGGCCTAATCCACAGTCATATATTCACCACAGAGAAATGGATTATGTATCGAATAGAAAGTAAAACGGGAAAAAATTGCCACATTACAATTAAAAATGGTAAACAAAAAAGATATACATGAAGGTATTTTCTAATATATTAACATATGTACATTCTTTTCATACAACCTTTTTATTACCATTCTGTTGTTATGGTAATGACATTTAAAAAATAAAATAAATTGCAATGACAGTCCACTGAGCCTGAAATAAAAAATTGTATTCCCTTTATGAAGTTGATTCCTGGTGCTTTCATGAATTGTTAAAATTTAAATTAAAAGGGGAAGAAGAAATGGTTTTGCAATAATAAATGATGTTGCTCACAAAACATTGCACTTTCAGTTTTACATTTTACATATAGAAAGTTGCCCAGCACTCTGAAAAAATGCAGTTTAATGTAAAATGAAAGCATGGAATATAGATATGGGCATATTTACCTAAATATTGCAGCACATAACCATTAACAGTTATGAGTTTGTCAGGCAAAGCTTTACAAAGGACACAGCAAACTGTCTCACATTAAAAGTCAGTATGCCTACGAGAAAAATAAGCGAAGGTCAGTAAGAGGTGTTAGTGCTGAGAGAGTGATTGAAACAAAAATATGTGAGATTCAGACCTGTTAAGAAAGTGAACAAGAGTATTTCTATACAAGTGTAAAGTGTTTAGACATGGAAGACCAGTCAACAAGTTGATAGGAAGCACATTCACTTTAGAGAGACGGTGTCACAGTGTCAAAGTGTCAACTCAACTATTTTGGGTTACAAATGTGCTGTGCTCCAGGAAGAGCAACAGACTAGAACTGTAACTGCTTATTAACCAACACTGTATATACTGAAAACAACAAACAAGCAAGCATGTATTTTGCAAAGTACTTTACAATAATGCTGAATATGTCATGAAGTTTGTGTAAAACATGTCAAAGATATATTTTTTAAAAATTTTCCAAGCATGGTCAGTGAAGTCTTTTCACTTAGTCCAGGCTCATACTGTCAAAATGACCTTTGCCACGCCACTAAAATTCAGATAAACTGCACAAAACTATCCCAGTAAGGAAGGATATTGATGTTAAAATTCATAATTATTTATTATAAAACATATCTTTCAATTAAAGCAGACTTAAAGTCTTTTGCAATGTGTCTTTAGGTCTCCCAAAGGTCTGTTCTCTTTTCATCTCATTCTTCAATTTCGTAAGCTGCTTTTGTGTGTGCAGCGCTTCCTTGGTGGCAAGAACTATTTCATGTGGACAGCAAATAGGATACAAAATAAGGCCTGAAAATAAAGTGGGACAGGCCAAATACAAATTTAAAGGGGGAGACGGGGACATTTAAAGTGTTCTGAGTGTCTGAGCTACTTTCATGCTAATCTTGTTAGATAATGGTTTGTCAAACATCTAACAATTCATACAACAAAAAACATGGGATTAGTGCCTTTAATGCTTTAAAAATTACAACAAATTGTACCCTAATTGCAAAGTGCCAGCACGTGTATATATACACACATAATTATATATGTATACATATACATAAATACCAGAAATTGTCAAAATTTTGAAAGAAAAATGTGGGGGGAAAACTTTTTCAAAACATGACATCTGATGAAAAATGAACACTAAGGGACACATACTATTGGGATAGAAAGTAAACATCAAATTAAATCCGACATGCACCTCTATTAAATTCTGTCGGCAGGCTCTGTGAGGAAATCAGCACATTAAGTGCTTCTGATATGTGACAAGAACATCTGTAGTACAACACTGGTGTATTATTATATGGTTAATTGAAAAGTAAGTGTTACAAAGCATAAAACAAATAAAGAAAACAAAAAAAATATTCATCACATTACTTTGTAAAAAAAAAAAACAAAAAAAAAAACAGACTGAACCAGTTCTGGTTGCTTTGCCTACTATTCACATAGTTGAATTTTTATAATAGTCCTCATATTGGCAAATTCTGCCAGCACAAGATCCATCAATGGATCATTCCTCATCATACATGAGCATCACACATGTATAATTGTTTCTCCCTTTTTCTTGCTATTAGTCCATAGTCCGTTTCAGATGCACACCAAGACAATGTTTTTACATTTACTGATGAGCTGCGCAAAAAATCACGCGAATATGAACGTGGTTTTGCGCAACTCGTCAGTGAACAACGGCTCTGTGTAGTTAATGCTGCTCAATGTGAAAGCCCGCAGGTGATGGAGATTTACCGCTGATTACAGAACCGGCTTTCTGACAAGATGCGCGTTAAATATCGCATGCGATTAATCGTGCAGCCCTATTGAGAACCAAATCATATCATAGAGTAAAATGGCTATATAATCAAAATCTGATTTGTTCTCATTTAATGAGATTGCAGATTTACCCAAAGAAAAACTAACAGCCAAAATAATCTTTATAAAATAATTTGTGATAGTGGCTACATTTACATGCATGAACAAGCTTTTCAACCCTTTTATACTGCACGTGGAAATGCTCTGAATAAATTTATACTCAATATAACACTATCATGATAAAGGTGACTGCATTTTATTCTAAATCTGTGAATTGTGACACATTCTTCTAATATTTGAATTTTAATAGTATAATGGGTGCACTTTATAAATGCTTTTTAATGGACCCAGAAGATGCTCAGAAAAACTTTAGCAAAATAGTTACTTGGCAGGTGATTTGCAGGTAATCGATAGCACATTTCATGATGTAACAATAGAGAAAGCTGCTTAGAGCAAGGAATTTACATACAAAAGGCTATTATTTTTATGCAAATGGTATATTTGACAAGGATGTCACCTTAAATTAGAAAATGTATTCTTAAATGTCTATTAAATAACAGATATACCAACATTTAAAAAGACATAAGAGGTTTTTATGTGGTTTATTAGATATACTGCAAAGTCAGAGATAATACTGGAACATAAACTTGCATGTAAATGCAGCCAGAATGACATTTATGGATAATTTTGGCCATTGCAAAGACTACAGCTTGCCTTCAGTGTGCTGTGCTGTATCGAGACCATAGTGGTCTTGCGGGGATCTGTTCTTGATCATCCCCTACTGCTGGGCTCTGGACATAGGGCTCGCTGAGGGGGGCGTCTTTCTGTGAGGAGGTCCACAGGGGTCTGGTGTGCACAGGCTGGTCCTATCCTTCACTCTTAAGAATCAAACCTCCACTGACTGGATCTGGTTCATTTGGGCTCGCATCATCTGCACACTGTTGAGAATCTTCTTCTGGTGGCCTGCTAGTGTGACTCCCACCTTCAGAATGTCACTGTGAGGACAGAAAGAGGGCGTGAGAGAAGCAACTGCATAATGCCACAGTCAAAGAATGATCTAAGCAGACAAGACTATCTATCAAATTTACAGTAATAGGTTTCTGGCGGCTATAGCGTCTGGTTCTGTAGCTTGAAACGAATGAAAATTATTGATGTGAATATGTTGAGCTCTATGGAAGATAGCATACTCCATGGTCATCTGAGATACGGCTTCAAAGGTAGTGAGGTCTTCATTGGCAAAGTTCTCCTTGTACTGGCCCATTTTGATGGCATCAAGCCATTCATCCACTGTGCTGAAGCTGGAGAAGTCTGGTGTGCTGCGGTCCAGCAGAGGTAGATGTACACTGCAAAACAGCCACAGAATCAACTTCACTAGAATAAGACTTATATCATGTGTATTAGAAAAAGTGTATTCTGCTAAACTAGAAAAATCCCACCATTTGACCCAGCTGAACGAATTAAAAATGCCAAACGATACAACTCTGCCATACACTATCATTCAAAAGTTTGCTCACCAAGGCTGCATTTATTTGCTCAAAAATACAGTAAAACAGTCATATTGAGAAATATTAATGCAATTAAAAATAACTGTTTTCTATTTGAATATAATTTCAAATATTATTTATTTCTGTGATGGCAAAGCTGAATTTTCAGCAGCCACTACTCCAGTCTTCAGTGTCACATAATCCTTCAGAAATAATTTTAATATGCTGATTAGATGCTAAAGAAACATTGCTTATGATACTCGTGTAAATTCGATTACTGTAAATTTGTAAACTCTTATTGTTACTCTTCAGTCTTTAAATTTTTAATACCTTTTTTGTGTATTTATGTGTATTATATATTTATTCTGTATCTGTAATTTAACTTAAAAATGATAAATTGGTCATTTTTTTAAATATATCAACTTAAATTTTAATTCATTTATAAACTTAAAGTCAGTGTAAAGGCAATTCAGAGAATTGTTTCTAAAAAACACATTATAAATGTTAGAAATGTATAGCTGAAAACACGTTACAAAGACGAATAACTATGTAGTACTGAATTGTGGACTTTGACCATTAAACAGTTTTTCACCAATTTTGTGTTCAGGATTTTTTGGGTGGGACTGAAGTCTCGATGACGCACTGGAGCCACTGAGCATGGCCCCTCCCCTAACACTATAATAACTAGAGCTCATTAGCATCAGTACTTCGCCCGCTCAATTGTGAGTTACTGTCATTACCGTTAGTTACTGCAGCCAACAGTTTACTAGCTAGCTATGCATTCGTCACGTAAATGCATATTACCAAACATGTATGGCTGTATGAATCTAATTAAGCTGCTAGAGGGAGCATCCATTCAGGTTGTAGCTGTATTTGACAGTTGAGAGAGGCGGCTTTCCCACTGTATAAATGTAAATATACAGTATTTGAGATCTGAGAATAATGCTTAACTTTTCAAGATTTTGATATTTTATTTTATTTACCTGGCTTTTTTTTTTCATTCAAATTTGGCTGGGTGGTAAATAACATTTTTCTGTGGTGTGACAAACTGAGAACACATATTTAATATTGGTTCACACTGACTTTAAATGATAATATGCCAGCAAATGTAACTTAAAAAAAATAAAAAAAGATGGAAATTTTTCTGCATTCTAATTATAAAGTTCAGATTGCAATAACAATTTACACATTTTTTTTTATGATTATACGGTTCAGACTAATGAACTGAATACGATTCAGTGCTCAGTGCTTGCTGGCCCCTTCTAGTATGTGTTGACCCAGAATAAAATCTCTTACCCTGAAGAGAGAGGAGTGGTGGCCTTCAGGCTGCCAGGATTACGGATCATCTTATCCAGAGTGTTAACAATCTGATTGAATTTCGGACGGTTGTTTCGGTCCTTCTGCCAGCAGTCCAACATTAGTTGGTGCAGTGCATTTGGACAGTCCATAGGAGGAGGTAACCTATAATCCTGCTCAATTGCATTTATTACCTAGATTGATAGGAAGATAAATTACATATTAAACATGTTATACTTAACAATACATCAATATAACAAAACAATACAAATTTTATACACATGTTCATGTATGCACTTTCAGATGGGATGGTGTTTAATGACATTGTTCGTCCACTAGGGGACATCCTTATCCAGCTCTTCATGGAAACAGAATAGATGAAAAATAGAATCTGTAATCATCAATATGACTATGTAATCATATAAGAATTGATTCATACATCTTGATTGCTCATGTCCCAGTATGGTCGCTCTCCATAGGACATGACCTCCCACATTACGATCCCATAGCTCCACACATCACTCGAGGACGTGAACTTCCTGTATTGAATGGCTTCGGGAGCAGTCCATCGTATTGGAATTTTCCCTCCCTTTGTGGACATTGAATTTAGTAAGAAATATTTCATTAGCATGAAGTAGGTGCTGCCACATAGCATCAGGCTATATAACCCATTAAACAGACACTCACCAGGGCGCTTGTGTATGTAGGATCTGACGTGTCATCTTCCAGAAAGCGAGAAAGCCCAAAATCGGATACTTTGCAGACTAGATTGCTGTTAACCAGGATGTTGCGGGCAGCCAGATCACGATGTACGTAGTTCATGTCACAGAGGTATTTCACGCCAGATGCAATGCCACGCAGCATGCCAACCAACTGAATGACAGTGAACTGGCCATCATTTTGCTAAGATGCCATACAGAGAATACAGAAATATGAAATAAATTAAAATACAATCAAATTATGTATTGAAGACAGAGGATACACATATGTTTCTTCTCTACATTAAGAAAAAAAAGCATTTCTAGCATTTTAAAATCAGCCTTTCTAACAAAACAGCTTTGTTCTGTGAGCTTGTGTCAAAATCTTGTGGCAAAACATCTGGACTTCATTCCAGCTGTGCCTCTCGGCTGACACATCTGGTCCCTACCCGATGGGATCCTGGGTCAGTTAAAAGCAGCACAAGGACAAGTGCCATCACGCACTGTGAAATAAAAAGCTGAACTAAATTGGTTTTAGGGAAATGTGAGAGCAAAAATACTAGTTTTTTTTTTTAATTAGGTGCCAATTAAAAAAAATTGGATTTACAGATTTCAAACCCAATGTAGCATGTAAAACAATTTATATGGGGGTGGGGACTCTAGAAATGTTGTGTGGTTATTGTAGGTTATTTATTTTTACAAATAACCATGATTAAATGGCTCGTGCAGCCCAATTAGAAGTGAAAATTTGTTACAAAAAGTAAAGATATTTATAATGTTACAAAAGATTTCTATTTATTTCAAATAATTGCATTCCATTGAAACTTTCCATTAAAAGTTTCAAGTTTTCGACAGAAATGTTTATTTCTGAAGGATCTTGTGACACTGAGGACTGAAGTAATGATGCTGAAAATTCAACTTTGCCTCTCAGGAATAAATTACATTGTAAAATATTTCAAAATAGAGAGCAATTATTTTAAATAGTAATTTAATATAAATATGACTGTTTTTACTGTATTTTATGATCCAATAAATGCAGCCTTGGTAAATATAAAAGACTTCTTTAAAAAAATACTTACTGATCCCAAATATTTGAACTGTAATGTAAATATTGCTTTAAAAAATGTTTAGTAAATGTTTAAAATCATGTAAACTTAAATGAACTGAAGACTTTCGCCATATTAGTGTCCTAATAAAAGCTATTTTTTTCTACATAGAGTAGGTAACCTCTTGGCGGCCATGTTGAGATCCCATGAACAGTCGAATTTTACTGCCACTGGATATATTTCACTTGTGGAACAAATTAATGATGGTTTACTGTGTGAACAGAGCATTTCTAAAATGGCATCGGTAGCTAAAAACGTTTTCTGCATGATACTTCTTCCACACCACTAGGTGTCAACAAGTCCAAGACAACTTACAAAATTTAAGTGCACTTTCAATGTTGCTGTTGTTGTTTTCTTTCAGCAACTCTGAAGCTTACCCGAAGGAAGGAGTCCAGTGATCCGTTCTCCATGAATTCAGTGATGATCATTACTGGAGTGCTCTTGGTCACCACTCCTTCCAGGTGGATGATGTTGGGATGGTCAAACTGCCCCATGATGCTGGCTTCGCTCAGGAAGTCCCGCCGCTGCTTATCAGTGTACCCTGATTTCAGAGTTTTAATGGCCACCAGAATCTCCCTCTTCCCAGGAAGCCTGAGATTACCGCTGCATACCTCTCCAAACTCACCTTAAATGTTCAAACGATTAGACCACTTGATTACACCTCAGGAAATGTCATTTAAAATTCAGTTAGATGAAAACAATTAAATTAGCAGCCTGGTTTACTAAAACTTTGTTGCTCCTTTATCAATAATTAAAGTTGTAAACACATTAAAAGCTCCAGGCTTTTGCTAGATTGCAGCTGCTTTCTGTTTAACGGTCGATTTGCTTATATGTAGTAATAATGCAAAGATGTTGGTTAGACTGCAAAATCAGCACTCTATGCAATTAAATCTATGCATATTAAAATATTCCTTATTTACGTGAACAGTGAAATTCACCTGCACCAATGACTTGCTCGATTTTCACACAGGTCACGTCTATTTCTTTGGCGAACTCGCGCACTGCCTCATTGGGATCCTCATATGTGAAAGGATCAATGTAGATCTTCATTCCTGGAGTCACTTGGAAAGAGAAACAGGAGCTGCAGTGTATGCAACAAATATATGGCCTATACTGTAATAATTACATATCAATGATTCTTAAACGATGGGATGAGACAAAATGCAATTTTTAAAACTGAAAAAGTTTTGAAAATTTTCACTTGAAAATCAGATCACCAAAATAACACAAATGTACATGTTCATTTTATTTTCTTATTTTAGCATTATATTATATTATATATGTATTTATATAATATGTATTTAGTTATATATAGATATATAGATTTATATTTATAACTTATGTTTTGCCACATATCTTAAGAATCAGTGATGTATATTTAAATGATTTATCTTATTAAATTATCTGTCAACATTATAAAACCCATCAATGAAACAGAATCATATGGCAAACTAAATAATAAAGGCGGAGTATTCTGAGCATGCAAGCACTTTTGGGAGAGTAAATGAAGTAAAAACGAATTATGGTTTCTGCATATACAGCACATGCTGAGTCAACTAGCACATTTTATCAACACGTGAACCGATTTCAATACACTGTAGTTCATAGCGTGTCATCGTGTGGCAAAGATCTTCAAATTGTAAGTAAAGTTGTGCCGTGGTTAAAATGTTGTTTATATGTGCTCTGCTGTTTTCATTTATTGACTTGAGCCTTGTTTAAAAAGATCAAGTAAATATTATAAGCACAAATGAAATATTATAAAGTCACTGAATGGTTTACTCACTGTGGCCGCTTGTGTAATGCTGAAGCTTGTCAGTGTATTCAGATTCTGTCCTGTCACTGTCTCTCCTGATGAGTCCCCAACAGGAAAAGTCAGAAAAAAGGGGCTACTTTGAAACACTTTTTTAAGGTATTTCTTAGTTTATGACAGAAAGATGAAATCAAACATCTGCTCAGTTTTGTTTAATCTATTCCAGATCATGGTAACCAACAGACTCACCGATTACAGACGATAATGAGCACAACCACAGCGATGAGAAAAACAACACCAGCAGCAGCAGAGCCGATAATGAGGGGCAGTTTCTCCTGCAGGCTGGAGCTGTACTCCTCTTCAGATGTATACATGGTAGACACAAAATCAGATCAGCTTTTGTGATTTTTCATCACAAAAAAAGACTCTAACATTTAAATTTTAAAGTCCCTTTGTGTACTGTCTAAGCTAAAATATACAAATACAGTCTGCTTATAGGTTTAGCATATGGAAGCATATAGGTAGCGAAATTCAATTTAAAATGCAATATGCAAAATGGCAATGCAATATGCAAAATGGCAACGCAATATTCAAAATGGCATTGTATTTCTGTATTTAAATTTACATTTTCCATTACCCATACGTG